CTTCAGCATAAGGATTTTGAGAGGACAACTTTCTGGCCAGAATAATCTTCCTCCTTTAGAACTAACTCATTATATTCACTGCTACCACATTCCATACCCCCAATATACACACAACAGAAAGGGCTGGGAATACTCACTGAAGTAATTAATGCAACCAGCATGTCTTGTGTATGTCTGAACATCTAAAAGAGTTTAGAAATTGAAAAGACACAGCTCCCAATTTCACCGTGACCTTCCCATCCACACGGCGTGTTTTCTTTCCATCATTCTTCATGCTACATTCTTCCACTTTCCATCCTTCCATCTCCCCACTCCATTTCTCCTAACTTCAAAGTCTGTATTTTGTTTTCATGGCATCTTTGTGTTGTTTATTCCTCCTACAATTTGATGAACATAATTACTTACATATCCATTTTCCTGAAATGACAAGATTCTTTTCTTCTATACCCTTGAAAACTGCTCCACCATGCCTGTGCATCACATGATCATCATGTGTTTATCTCTGATGGGCATTAAGGCATGGGGGGTTACTGAAAAAATGTGTATAGACATTGTCTCATCACACATACAGATTCTGAATATTCCTTGAAGGATTTCTCCTCATATGGAAAAGAGTGATATGTTCTCTTCTAACTGAATTTGGCTTGAGTTCGGTCTTACTGGTTATGGGCATAGCTGCCCCATCTTGCTTTGGATTCCATTGTTTATTTGTTATCCTTTCACTTTCTGTCATTGTATGCCTCAGACTTGTTTACTGGGGTGAATTTCTTGTGGGCAGCATATGGTTGTGCCATTAAAAAATAAAGTCAGCCAGCATGTTCCTTCCTTCCTTCCTTCCTTCCTTCCTTCCTTCCTTCCTTCCTTCCTTTCCTTCTGAGTATGAAGGGGGTGAAGAGTGTGTACTGCTTTTGCAGAGAACCAGAGTTCAGTTTCCAGAACCCACATTCCACAGCTCACAGCTCTCTGCAACTCCAGATTTTCCCTTATAGGTTGATTGTGGTGTATCACACAACTTGTAGCAGATTGTGACCTAGTTAGTGGTCAATAACCACCATGTATTATTATTTTTATTATTATTATTAGGTAAATTCTAGTCAAATACATAATGAAAATTGACTTTTACTGTGTGCAGTGTACCAGGGAAGGAACTGACCAGTACTATACACTTACTGTGTACCAGGCACCACTCCAGCACTGTAGCAAGAGTTATCTCACTTAATTTTTGCCTCCCATGCCTTGTTTTTAATAGAATAAAAATTTAGTTACAAATGATAGAAGAACTCACTCAAGAGCTTGCAGAGAGGAGCAGAGCTTCTGGTGGGAAGCTAGGAATGTCTCATTGCTAAGGAAGTTCTCTGTCTATTTTGATCAGAGGAAGGCTGTACTTGAATCATGTATCTTGCTTGGATTCTGAAACATCTGAACCCAGTGTGGGAAATCAAGTGGAGACAATTGTCAGATACCCAAGAGCAGGAATTTCCACAGGGTGAGATTTAAACATGGTCTAATTCTCCAAGTCCTGTGTGTTCTGCTGGTAGGTTTGTGTGTTTTAATATCTTATGTTAGGAGCATGCATTACTTTTAATAGTATATCTCATTTCCTCTCTAGGGAAAACAGGAGATATGTTGCATTCTGCAGAACTACAGCAACTGCTTTCCAGGCGTTGCTTAGTGATCATGGTAATGTACTATCTCAGAGACAGAGAAAAGTCTACTCAGGGTCTTGATAATGGCTCCACAGGATCAGAACAATGCTCTCTCATACGATGTCCTTTTAAAATAATACATATTTTATGTCCCTGTATGTATAAATGAAGCTGTCCGAGGCAGACTAAATCCTGATGACTTTGTTAATTATATATTGGGGTATGGCAGAACTCAAGCATAGGAATAAAGCCAGGTCTCAGCCAGAAACACTCAATTAGAATATGGGACGTGGTCAGCAACTACTCTCTTTGCTTTCTCTTCTGGTGTTGATTTTTGTCAAATAACTTTCTACTGAGATATGGTGGTCTAAAAAGGCATAAATGTAGCTATTGTATTTTTTTTTTTTTTTTGGTTTTTCGAGACAGGGTTTCTCTGTGTATTTTATAATAAACAAATCTTTCAAAGCCACCCATTAAAATCCTGATACTAATTCTGAAACATAAGAGGGGATAAATACTTTACATTAATGATCATTTGCTCGTCACTGTGAGGTCAGGTAAGATATAAACCATATGAGCGGTGTAAACTTTGGGTAGTGGGAGTATCTCATAATGCAGCAGGCCCCCAGACTTTATAAGCCTCCAGACTTTAGCACAACTGACTCCACAATGGAAGTATCATTCAAGGCATAAAATTCAGCACATAGATAGTACCACCTGCCAAAATGAAAACAAAAAACTTAATCCATCAAAGTCCATAATTCTGAGAAAGTCTCTAAAGCTTCTTGGGTTCTGCAGTTCCACCTCTGGCTAACTGTTCTTGTTAATTGAAGTATGTCAACCCAGGATTTTTTTTTGTGCTTAAGTATGGTGATATTTTATTTGTGCTGAAATGTGACTTTATTTGTATGTTAATAAATAAAGTTGCCTGGGGGTCAAGCCATTTAGCAGAAGTTCAGTGGTGGTGACACATGCCCTTAGTCCAATCACATGGCAGGCAGAATCTCTGTGTGTTCAAGGACACAGCCAAACTGTGACCCGAACCTTTAATCTCAGTATGAATCATAGAGACCTGGAGGTATGAATAGACAGGCAGTGACGAGGAAATCATGTGGTTGGGTTTAAAGCCAATGAGAAGATAGAACAGAAAGGCAATAAGAAGACTGTCACACAGGAGAAGGTCCCTCTCTGAGGGGACGGACGGCAGTGACTGGTAAGCTAAAGGCTTCCCTAGTTCTCTGAACTTTGGGGCTTTTAACTGTGCATTTGGCTCTGTGTTTCTTATTTAATAAGACCGTTTAGAATTTCATCTCCACTTAAGAGCTAACCCTGAGAAAGGCTCACGGCTACAGTGGGATCCTGAACACCTCTAGCCAGATAATAAAAACGTTCTATTGGCTTAAACCTGTGTCCAAGTAGTCTTCTCTTGTGGATACTCTGCAGCGATGGAAGTTGAGTACATCCTATGTCTACACATCATGATTACATATTATAATTTCAGGGGATTACTAACTACTCGTATGTTCTAATTAAAATCATTTTCATATTAATATCTATTCCCACTACTATCTCCTCCTCAATAATTTGCTTCAGTTTGCAAAAGTGGGATGCATTGCTGTAAGTAAACTTTGGTAGAACATTTGTCTACTGGAATGTACCTTGTGTTGACACTTGTGTTGTCCCTGCACGTGGAGCTCAGTAGTCCACAATACTGCCATTCATTTGAAGATGGCCCCACCCTGTTTTGCTGCAGTGAGCACATGCATGCATGCATGCATGCTTTGAAGCGGTACATACCAGAGATGCTGTGTGAGGCTGGTAATGGGCCTCCCTATTGGAATCAAGCAATGGTACTTGTCTTCTTCTCTGGGCTTGCTGACTGGCATTTGCAATGATGCCTTACAAGGATTGCTAATTTGCATTTGGTTCAGTCCACTGATAGATAGTTGATCTACCAGAATGTTTATACACAAGCCCACATGCTACTCTTCAACAGGAAGGAACTGTTATACATATTAGTACTCGAATTTCTGGAAATGTTTATTTTTCTAAATTAGTATGTTTTACTATTCTATACAATTATCCTAGAGCTTTTAAGTCAAAATACTAAATTATTAAAAAGTAAATTACTTGTCACATTAAAACCTAAAATGGCATGTTTTTAATGCTACATATATCACAAGGGCAAGATTAATTTTATGAGGGTAAAGCTCCTGATTTTTCCATGAAATTAGTTTTACTCAGCCATTAAATATGAATATATATGAAAATTTAGTTTTTAGCATAAATAGATAGATGCTAGATTTCTTGTTTAATTTTTAGTTATAAGGTAATATAGACATTTACATATTTTTAAAAAATTTAACTAGGATGCTGTAAAGGTAAAAGTTTGAAACAGGCTTTAGATTTTAGAATACAACTGTAATTTTTTCCTATCAGTCACACTAATAATCTCTGAAATAGTTTTTCCAGCTGTTGAATGACAAATATATTTTGCAGGAACTAAAAGTTTTTGGCACATACTTGAGAATAAATGAACATGCTGAACATTTCACATGTGATGTGCAGTGTTTCTTGTCACTAATAAAATTAATAATGATCATATTCATAATTTAAAATTAGGATAGTATTAGCCAATAATTGGTGATAAGCTAATAACACAGTCAGGAATAAAATAATCAGAAAGAAATAATATAGTTTAGAGAGCAATGCTCCTCCAGCTAATGTATTCCTTTCTATATACACCTCATTGCCTAACTGCCATCTCAAAATTAAACTAATTATTTTACTAATGAACATAACTAGAATCTGAAATAAGGATATCTATCTTTTGTAAATTAGGAATGCTTACAGTTTGAATAAAAAATAAAACAACTTGTTTTAGAAACAGCGCATTTATCCTGGAGATGTTTAGTGAAATTAGAGTCAGAAAAACAAGAAACAAAATTGATTTCACATAAGTGTAGGCATTTTTAAAAACAGAAATAGAGTTCATAGTTTGACTTCTACATGAGGATATATCATTTTGAAATTCATCTTCTTACCTAGAAGAGAATAGCTAGTTAAAATGATTGTTTTATTGAAAGAAGAAAGTAAAGATTATTCTAGGGTTATAATTTTGAACTTTGATTTAATTTTTTCTGTAAAAGGACAGCATGAGCTGGAAGTGATTGCATCATTGGGAAGTGTATTTTAGCCACCGAGTCCTCTATGAAAGCAACAGTAAATTAACACAGAATTTCAGGGTCAAACAACTCACAATTGAATCAGTAATTTGTTGTGATGATCTATTCATTGGCTTGACTGAAGGATACACAGACAGGTGGGAACACGTGGATTCTGAATTTTTTTCAGGTTGCTTGAGGAAGAGGCTAATATCTGAATCAGTAGGATGAGGAAAGAGACCCAACCTTACCAACATGGGTGAGTGTCAGCACTCCATGGAGAGACCCCAAGCTGTAAGAGGTGGGAGAAAAGATTTGAGTAAAGGGAAGTTTCTGCCCTGCCTGCCAGCAACTCCCAAAGACCCAGTAACTGCTTTACAAATAATTGACTTGTAGGCTTAATATTACTTGTAAATGATCAGGCGCTAGCTCAGGCTTATTACTAACTAGCTGTTACACTTAAATGTTTAGCCACGTGGCTTGGTACTTTTTCTCGGTATGGCATTCTTATCTTGCTTTCTCTGCATCTGGCTGGCAACTCCTCGACTCTGTCCTCCTTCTTCCCATCATTCTCAGTTTGGCTTTCCTGCTTAACTTCCTGCCTGGCTACTAGCCAGTTAGCATTTTATTAAACCAATTCTGAGTGACAAATCTTTACAGTGTACAATAGGATTATTCCACAACAGATTTGCTCTTCTTCTGGTGTCTTATCTTCTGACTTGGAACTTGTGCCAGGACCTTGCACTCCCCTTACACCAGGCTTTCAAACCTTGGACCTCAAAATTAGCATCAGATTAGTAGCTTCCCTCGTTCATGGGGCTTTAGGCTTTGACTGCCCTATGTTGCTAGTTTCCCTGGCTCACCAGCTTGCAGACAGTAGTGTGAACTTTTCAGACTGTAAGCATGTTGCTAACTTTATTGTAAATACCCTCTTTGTTGTCTGTCTGTCTCTTACCTACCTATCATCTATATACTCAATCTTTGCCCACTCTATTGACCCAATTTCTTTGGAGAAATATAACAGCCATATATAAGGAGAAAATATACACATCAAAACTCAAAATTATTTATTGTGTTTGAGCATTGTTGCAGACTCTTGGATATCACCTATAACCATAGTCCCTAAACACTGAATGACACAAAATTCAATTAAATATTTCCCCAAACAAGAAAGAATCTGATATCTTTCCTCTGCATGCAAAACAAAGGGAAGGACACTTGCCACCAAACGTGACCACCCAGGTTCTAGCCCTTAGTCCACATGGTTGAGAAGAGTACAGATTCCCATAAAGTTTCCATACAGTCTCTATGGTGTGCATATGCCCACACACATACACACACACAAAAAAAATTAATTAATTAATTAAATTCAAACAGAAAAATCTATCAGTGAGCATGCCATGAGAGCAATGTGGGCACAGAATAGCTGAAGGTCAAGGTTCAACCTAAGTACAAAGCTGCCCATAGCAGTGTGCACATGGATCTTCATGCTGTGTTGGCAACATGTGGACTTGGGGTATGACACAGAGTTGGTGGTGTCAGACATGTGCTGGGAGGTGGGACTGATCTTCCCCAGTGGCTCTGTCCAAGCTGGTAGAAACTGGAACTGCCTGACCCCCTTTGGTGAATGTGAAAAAGGTTTCTGTGAGAACTCTAGCCCCAGGGAGAGGCAGGCTGGCACATAAAACTTTTATTTGGTGAGCAACCCCAGTCCAGTTCATGCTGAAGAGTATGCCACCTGTAGACTGGGGGCAAGACCTAGGCTTGCCTCACCATCTACTAAGACATTCATAGAAACATCATAAGCAAGTCAGACTTACGACACCTCTGTCATATAAATAGGAGTGATCACAGCCTTTTAAGACTTGGGACACACACAAAGCCCTAAGATAAAGACTGGAATTGTGATTGTTTTATGGAGGTAAGACACACTGGATTCAAAACCCACCAACATCAGACATCAGAAAGTGATCATACCTTAAGCAATCCTGGAAAACTCTTAGATGTGAAAATCAACTGTTTTAAAAGAAAATATTATGTATATTAAGGAAACATAGAAAATTCATTCAATTCAGATTTTTTTTTCAAGAGAAGTGAAGGAATTTTAAAAAATACCAAACAAAATCCTTGAGTTGGAAGTTGCACCGAGCAAAATTAAAAAAGCATATGCTATAAATAAGGCCCCAGAAGTAGAACAAGTTGAGAGCAGAAAGGGTTAATTCAAAGACAGATTGCTTGTTTGTTCTCCAGTGATGGAATAAAAGGGGAACATGAATGGGAAGGGTAAGGATTTCTTATGGGCTCACAGGGACAGCACAGAGAATAAGACTGTGCCTCGTTCTTGTGCAAGAGGGACTCAACAATATCAAAGGTAGAGGAATGCTCTTCAAAGAGACAGACAAGTTTCCAACCTGTAGAAGACAAATATCCAAGTACCAGGAAGATTAAAGTCACAGTCATTTTTATCTCATCCAAGTCCACGCCAAGACAAGTTACAACCAAACTCTCATGGTAAGCATGCAAAAAAGATTCTCCATGTCAGAAAAGATACGCATGTGTATAAGAGGGCACACAGTAATCTCAGCAGAAACATGTAAGTATGCTGCCCAGCAAAACCATCCCTTGGAAAACAGGAGAGATGAAGACACCGACGAGAAGGAAGGCAGTCCACCAGATTCCTGTTACGGTCAGTACTGAAAGTAGATTTTCAAAGGTAAAGAAACAGACATTAACGAATAGGAAGGCCTTGGGGCATATTAGTTACTGGTCAGAGTAATGAGACAGACAATCTCAGGATGTGCAGGTAGCATGAACTTCCTGTTAAACTTATGAATTTGCTGTGAAGACAATGAAGCAAAACACTCAACTCAATCATAACCCAAAGAATGCCACTTGGTGCAAATGGATTCAGAAAATGCATTTGGCTAATTCAATGGTTATTTCATAAATGAGTCTCAACAAACCAAGAATAGGGAAACTTGTGGTGATATTGTGTTCCCCAATATATCGTGAACACTAATAAACTTATCTGGGGTCAGAGAACAGAACAGCCACTAGATAGACATAGAGGCCAGAAAATTGTAGCACACACACCTTTAATCCTAGCATTCCAGAGGCAGAGATTCATCTGGATCTCTGTGAGTCCACACTGGAAACAGACAGGCATGGTGACACATGCCTTTAATCCCAGGAAGTAATGGCAGAAAGCAGAAAGGTATATAAGGTGTGACGACCAGGAACTAAACTTGTTAAGCTTTTAGGCTTTTGAGCAGCAGTTCAGCTGAGACACATTCAGATGAGGACTCAGAAGCTTCCAGTTTGAGGAAACAGGATCAGCTGAGGAATTGGCAAGGTGAAGTTAGCTGTGGCTTGTTCTGTTTCTCTGATCTTTCAACATTTACACCAATACCTGGCTCTGGGTTTGTTTTTATTAATAAGACCTTTTAAGATTCGTGCTATAGAAACTCCCTATAAAAATTGATATATTTTTGATAAAATTATCATTAAGAAATCAGCTATAGTTTCTCCAGTCTATAAGGAATATACCTATAATTTAGTGTGCTTTCAGTATATTCCCAGAGTTCCATATGCCCAAAGCTCCCCCTCCAAGGTGTGTTTCAGGTTGTTGGGTGTGGTGGTTTGAATGTGAAATGGTCCACATAATCTCCAACATTGGAATACCTGGTTCAAGTTGAAAGTGCTATTTGGGGGAGATTTATGTGTTGAGACCTTGCAGGAGGAAGTCAGTGGAGGTTGCGCTTTGAGGATGAAAAGCTTTACCTACTTGCAGTTCACTCATTCAGCTTTCAGCTTACAAAGGATGTGAGCTCCCATTTCCTCCTCTTGCCACCATGTGCCACCACCTGCTGCAAAACTGTTCCCACTGTTATGGACTCATCCTCTCGAACCTTCAGTTAAGATACACTCTTCTCTAAGCTGCCTTGGTCACAGTATTTTGTCACATCAGCAGGAAAGGAACTCAGACACTAGGTCCTCTAAGGGATGGAGACCAGTAGAGGATGAGTGTGCTGTGGCTGACTTTGAGAAGGAGGAAAGAGCTCATGATGTCTCATGAGAGGCCTGCGTTCTAAAAGAGCAGGGTGGCCCTTCTTCCTTCTCTTAATTTCCTCCTGGCATGGGCCAGAGGTCTCTCACTGAAGATACCCACAGAGTACCCCATAAACATACCCACACAACACCCGCAAACACACCTACATTGGGTTCTCTGAAGACAAGGGCAAATGACGTTTTTACGAATCAGCCAGCCTCAGATATTTTTTTGCATAGCAAGACAAGATGGACTGTGATAAATACATGTTAAACATTTTGAAAGCCTCTGCCACTACTTATGACTACATAGCTGGTTAGAAAAGAAGAAATGACCATCCCATCACCAGAGTAGGTCAGTTTGTCTCTCGACCATTGCCAGCAGTCTATTGTGGGGGCATCTTTGTGGATCCCAATGACTAAGGGAACTGGATGTAGAGATCCACGGCCAGGCCCCGGGTGGAGCTCCGGGAGTCCAATTGGCAAGAAAGAGGAGGGTTTATATGAGCGAGTCGGATAAAGCACAGAGACAAATAGCCAAACGAGTGGAAACACATGAACTATGAACCAATGGCTGAGGGGCCCCCAAATGGATCAGGCGCTCTGAATGGGTGAGACAGTTGATTGGCTTGATCTGTTTGGGAGGCATCCAGGCAGTGGGACCGGGTCCTCTGCTCATTGCATGAGTTGGCTGTTTGAAACCTGGGGCTTATGCAGGGACACTTGGCCCAGCCTGGGAGGAGGGGACTGGACCTGCCTGGACTGAATCTACCAGGTTGATCTCAATCCTCCTCAGGGGAGTCTTTGCCTTGGAGGAGATGGGAATGGGGGGATGGGCTGGGGAGAAGGGGAGGGGGGCGGGAGGGGGGAGAACAGGGGAATCCGTGATTGATATGTAGAATTAAATTATATTGTAAAATAAAATAAAAAAAAGAAAAGAAGAAATGAAACTTTTTAGTTGATTATGGTATGATAGTCAAACCATAGAAAATCTGAAAATATCAACAAAAACACTATAAAATTGAAGGACAGGAGGATAACACAGGAAAATCAATTATTTTACTAACTTCTAGCAGTAAATGAGTAGCATTTGAGCTAAAGATCCAGTACCATTTGTATTAGCACCTTCCAAAGTGAAATACTTAGGCATCAATCTAACAAAGCATGTATAAGAGCTAATGAACAAAACCCTGAGATGGTACAAATATTTAAAAAGGAAAAATTGAGGAAAGTTCATCTTCACAAATGGAAAATTTTGATATTACACTGTATCTTCATGGCTTAATCTACAGATATAGACAAACTGATTTTAATGTTAACATGCAAAAGCAAGAGGTTGGAATATCCACATGGTGTGAAAAGGAGAAAACTAAAGTTTGGAAGCTGAGCTGCTCAATATTTAGAGATATTTGGGTAATTGAACATTAATATGCAAATTTAAAAACGTAAATCGATTTTAAAAATCAACTCAAAACTTATACAGATAAGTATCTGAAAACTTAGATAAAACTTCAAAATGGAAAAAATAAAAATTCTGGGTCTGTTTTCTGTTTTTATATACCTGTTTCCACTGAATTTGGTAGACTTCTTCCCCCACCTTAGAAGCAACTTGATATGAATAATGAGACAGTAACTCATTGTGTGCTTGAGCACCATGGTGTATACTGGTTTAATTCTCCTACATGACCCTAGTTGTGTCTATTCCCATTTCCTTGCCAATTAATTAAAATAAGACAGATCTTTAAAATGCAACCTGTCAATTTTTTCTGTTTATTTTATTTTATTTGGAAACTAGATATGTCTTCTTGATTCCTTTAAAAGAAGAAGCCATAGAGTCAGGGTTAGGAAAGCCATCAGAAAGTTATAATCACTATATTAATGGCTTGACATATTGAGGATGTTCCCTGCATAGTGGATATTATAAGTGATTTCTACTTATTCCCATTTTCTTTAACCCTCAGAGTGGGATCTGCAAGATTTGCACCAGTTGAACAATTATGAATGTTTTAGTGGAAGATTTGAATCTCGTACTTAGGCATCACTGGTATGTTGCCTGGCTAGTAAGTGACATAGAGACAATTCCAACCAATGCACCCTGATTCCATTGGCAGTATCATTCCCATCCACCTCACTTCAGCTTCTGCTGGGAAAGGTAGAATCATTTTGAAAATGGCAGCATTTGTGAAGAACATTTGCAGGTGTACAGATACATAGAAGTACCAATCTCTCAAGTACGCCAATAAAATGTCTTTACAGACTACGTTGTACACTTCAGCCAAGATGGAAATTAGGCATTTCCCTTGGTACTGACACTGAGTACTAAGTCCTAAGTTGAGACACACCTGACAGTATTTTAAAGGGTTGCTCATTACATCAGAATCTGTCATGTTTAGACAACAATTTCAGAGGAACAATGTAGCATACGGAGCCCAATCTTACAATGCAGAATGGAATGGGATAATTCAGTATTTACTAAATAGAATTTTGCTTGTCCTAGGATTTTCTCAATGACTATTATTGGATTCAATGATGCTAATTTACCTCCATTCTGTATATGTGTTGTTTTGAGTATGACAAATGCAAATCAGGATGAAGGTGAGTGCTTCATGTTCCAGCCTTGACTCCTACAAACAAAGCTTATCAATCACGAGTAATTACATTGTCAGTTCCTAATTTAGCAAGAACTATTCTACTCTAACCCAGCAAATGCAAATATCAAAATAAATGAAGTTTTGAAAAGCAGAACACAATGCAGATGACCTCTATTTCAGCTGTCAGTCTAAAGTCAGGGTTGCTGTTCTCTTGTTTGCTTTCAAAAATGTAAGAAATAGGGATGGTATTAGCTGCAAGAGCTAGTGTGTCTCATGCCAGCCATTTACATCGAACCTGGGAAGGTTTATGTCCAGCCCCACTTGGTGCCAATATGAATATGATGCTGATCATTGGAAACGACATGGATGCCCCTGACCATGCCCTTGAGCTGCTCTCTTCTAACACACAGGGATGAGTCAGACAAGTGGAACAGACATTCATAGTCACACAATTAGATGTAGTGCTTTTTGGACTAGTCAGATTATGGAATTACTTTCATTGGCTTAACCACTGTCAGTTTAGAGCCTTGAGATAGCCTGATTACTCCATATGTAGCTGCTAATTCCTTTTATATCATTGCTTATGCCACATCAAATGACAAGAGTGGGAACCTCACTAAAAACCCCCTCAAAATCACCTGATATGAAGTTTGAGGATGTTAGAACTTTTTCTCTAAGGGCACTTTTGATGCATGTAATTTTTTTTTTCAGAATGATTTTCTGAGAAAGGCAGGCAGACAAGGTATAGCATGAAGAAAATGAGTATGTTCAATCCATTATCTAGAGTAAGCAGGATTGGAGATAACAAAAATCTTCCAAATACGTAAAGATTTCTCCATAAAAATGAATTTTTCTGTGTGTTGGGGGTGTGGTCTTTAATGTCAACTATTGACTCTTTATTGCAAATGGCTGTTGGAGTAATGGAAGGATTCACGCCAAGTGAGAAGCTGTTTATTGCAAGCTGAAAGGGGGCATTTGATAAGAGTAAAGTCATTACTTCTGAAGGATATTAACAAAATATAAGAAAAAATAAGAAGTGAAAACTTGGAATGGTGGAAACCAGGAGACCTGTTCTCTGCTAGAATGATCAATCACTTGTTCCCCTCACAAAGGACGAAATTCTCAGAGGATAACAGTAAGGCCATGTGATGGAGATGAGGCTGAACAGTGTCTAAACTTTAGAGGGACTGATGTGGAGTTTGTCAGAGCCACACAGATCTTCCCTCCATCTCTGTGGAGCTAAGCATCCCTAGAAGCTTCAATGATTCATGTATCACACACAATATCCCCGTGTTGCTAGGAAGGAAGGAAGAAGACCTGAGAAGCTGCTGCTTCCAGTTGGTTTTATCCCAGGAGACTTAATTTTCTCAAAATTGGTAAGATTTAACCATCAAGGCAAAGACTTTTCAAGTTTTTACAAATGTCATTTCTACTGACTTACCTGAAGAAGGTAGCAGAGAAACAGCAGCCTGAGCCTTCCTCATCAAAGCATGAAGTACTAATTTACAGGTGTGCAGGGAAGCGCGTATCCCATAGTTACTGTATGACACTTTCTAAGACAACGTTTTTATGATAGAAATTCATCTGGTAGACATATAAAAATAATGATGGGTGAAATCTGTGCCTGACATAAAGATGTTAGTTGCTTCATAAATCTGTGTGAAGCTTAAGTGTATTTGAACTGCAATCAAGGAAGCAACATAAGCTCAAAATGAACCCAGAAATATGGCCTTCCTGTCATAGTTCTAAATCTGAGTTAGATAATCCTTAGGAAAAGTCTGTCTGAGCCTTGAAAAATTTCAATAGTTATGCCTTCATAGCCATCAAAACTATTTTTTTTTCATTTTATTCAGGACATACTTGTTAAACATAAACATATATAAAGATCTATGAAAGACTCAGAAATTGTGTGTATATTCATGTGCATGTGTGTTCCAGTGTCTTATGTGTTCATGTACAGAAGCCAGAAGTGAAACTTAGCTGCTATTCCTCGGGATCTGTCTTCTTTATTTTGTGAGACCCAATCTCTCAGTGGCGGACATCCTCCAGTCTCCACCTGTATGGCATCAAGCTTTCAAGTGCACACTACTATGCACAACTTTTACATGGTTTCTGGGGCTCAAACACAGATCTCTGTCCTTGTGTGGGGAATGCTTCACCAACCGAGCAGTCTCAACAGCACCATTAAAACTCTTCCTGTGTCCCCTCAAACAGTTTTAGTAGGTCTGATGGTATGTGTGGAATCAGGTCTCACCTTGGACAGTGAGGTCACAGGGACTTAATGGTCTGAGTTTAAGTGTCTGGTTAATTAGGAGTAACATGTACTGACTTTAGGGATGGGTCATAAGGCCCACATGTAGATAAATAAACAAAACAAACAGAAACCCCTGAGTTTTTTTTCATTCTTCTTAAATTTTAACTTCCTTTCTTCCCACTGTACAGTTGGTCGCCTGAAGCTCAGTAGTAAGTAAAGCAGGGAGATAGACAGAGTTTAAAGTGATGGAATGATGGAAGTTAGGTCAGTCACTGAGACTCAGCTTCAAATGGACAATATTTAGGTTCACAAAGAGTATCATTTATCTAAATATGTCTGTTCATAGGTTGGCTGTGTATGTGGGGGTCTCTATGTTTAACTATTTGCAACTTTATCTTTTTAGATATTGTAGTGGGTAGCCATTCCAGCTTTGATCTGGAAGTTCCAACCCCCATTGAGACTTCGGCAACTGTCACGCCTACAAGGCGGGGCGAAAGGAGGCGCCTGGGGACCTGAGATCTGGATCGGTGGGCTCTCTCTCTGTTGCGGGACCCTGGACTGGAGAGGTGGACCAAGCAGAGCTCCAGAGAACACCGCTGGACTGCGATACACCTTCCCCAGACTCCGCGACCTACCTATCCCTTAATTTGTAAGTTACGCCATTAAATAAATCTCCTTTTATCTACGTGGAGTGGCCTTAACAATTTCACCAATATCTTTTTTTTTTTTTTTTTTTTTTTTAAATTTATTTATTATGTATACAGTACTCTGCCTGCATGTATGCCTGCAGGCCAGAAGAGGGCACCAGATCTCATTACGGATGGTTGTGAGCCACCATGTGGTTGCTGGGAATTGAACTCAGGACCTCTGGAAGAACAGCCAGTGCTCTTAACCGCTGAGCCATCTCTCCAGTAGATAGAACATATTAAGTATTAGATTCAGGTTCTTTAGGATAGGACACCTTTTGGAATGATCTTTGTAACATGCCATTTACCTATGCTCTATACTTCTCTGGATTATAGTATGTGTTTCTTGCTTGATATTGTTTGCATTGGTTGTAGTTCCATCTTATCTAGGTCATTATCCCTCATTATTCCTGGACTATATTTGATAACCATTCCTTTGTATATAGTCTTGTATTAGGTTAGAACTTTCTTATTTAGACAAAAAGGGGGAGATGTAGTGGGTAGCCATTCCAGCTTTGATCTGGAAGTTCCAACCCCCATTGAGACTTCGGCAACTGTCACGCCTACAAGGCGGGGCGAAAGGAGGCGCCTGGGGACCTGAGATCTGGATCGGTGGGCTCTCTCTCTGTTGCGGGACCCTGGACTGGAGAGGTGGACCAAGCAGAGCTCCAGAGAACACCGCTGGACTGCGATACACCTTCCCCAGACTCCGCGACCTACCTATCCCTTAATTTGTAAGTTACGCCATTAAATAAATCTCTTTTATCTACGTGGAGTGGCCTTAACAATTTCACCAATAAGATATATCACTTTTTGCTCAATATACTGACAGATACTTAAATTTTAGTAAGAAAATATGGCTGAGTATCAATATGTAATTATTTGTGCCGACTATGTATTTGATTCTGTGTAAGATACTGAACACTGAAGAGTCAAAGACTGGTGTGGCCACTGTAGATATAAACTTCAGGTCTAGCTTTGACAGACAACAAATAAATATACCAGCAAATAAATACATAACTATAAATTGAAATGCATGGTATGGATGGAATACAGATGGTAAATCTGTAGCATACAGTACCAAGGTATCAGCTAAGGAAGTGTGGTCAGGGAAACTTATAGCCTGAGAAGGAATTTTGTGGAAATCTATCTACTCTGTGGCTGCTTAGTCATCAGGAAGCAGATGTTCTGTTCATAATAAACACTCTGAAGAAGAGCTTGAGGTGGTAAACGGTTGCTGTATCAAGACCTGAGAGGCAGGCTCTGCTAAATCCACAGTTATGGAGCCTTTGAATGATTGACTACCATGTGCTCTCCAGTTCTCAACTATTGACAATAACAAATTCCCATAACTTACAATGGAAACCGTTTTCACTCATTTAAGGCACAAATTCATTAAAACATGATTCTCACACCTAAAGCTGCCTCTTTTCCTCCTCATTCTCAGCATAGTTTGGGCTGTTTGAAGTTGTATAGTAGAAGGTGGAGTGTGGGAGACAGAATTCTAATATAGCCCATCAAGACTCCCGGGCCCTGCTTATTCATTAAACCATCAATCCAGATGCTCCTCTGAGGTGACCTAGCAGGTGTGATTACAGCCCTTGCTCTATATAATTTCAGATTGCCTCAGTGGGCTGTGCTGACTGTAGGAGGTCTTTATCAAGAGAGATTTCTTTGGCTGGTTGCAGAAAGAGTTTTGAAGCCTGAAAAGACTCAGAATTCCTCTTATGTTTGAATATGGACTATAGGATTTAGGAGTGACCACGAGTCAACAGTCAACAGGAAACAGAGCCTCCAGTGAACAATCAAAACAGAGCATATTTTGCCTACAACAATTTCCTCAGCCCAAAACTGTACCACCACCAGCCAGAGATTTTCCATTAGCTAGTCTGTTCAAATCCTGGATTTCTACCTTGTGCCAAAGAAACCAGAGAACTAATCACAGTCTGTGTCAGATTCTATCCACAACACCTTGAGCTAGCAAACAGGCATCACTGTTGAAGTTGAATGGACAAGCAGATATCCTGCTGCTTTTGCTTTGAGGCAACCTTGGGCTTTCTCACTTCTCTGGAGCAAACTGTTTTTGACTTTAAAGGTATTAGACTGAGGAAAAGAAACATAGGAAAATGAAGAAAACAGATGAATGACTTTAAAATGGAGCCAGGTTTAGACACTCCCAGACTGACAAGGGAAGCAAGCCACTGTTTTGTCCTGCCAAGTGGTGTTATTTTTTAAGATGAAACGTTATTCATCATTTCTTCTCTGAATGAGAAGTAAGCATCTTATTATGTGTTGTTGTTGTTGTGGATGCCATGCTTGCTTCCAGGGACTCATGCCAGATTCTCACCATTATTTTTCTTTGTCTTTTCTCTATACTGTTAATGTAAAAATGGTGGTTAGTGCTTTTTGGTTTTGTGTTGTTTTGCTTGAGGCACTTTTGACTTTTGTTCAGCTTATTTTCTTTCTTTCTTTCCTTTTTGTTTCTCTTTCCTTCTTTTCCTTCCTTCCTTCCTTCCTTCCTTCCTTCCTTCCTTCCTTCCTTTCTTTCTTTCTTTCTTTCTTTCTTTCTTTCTTTCTTTCTTTCTTTCTTTCTTTCTTTTTCTGAGGTAGGGTCTCATGCAACACAGACTTTCCTTGAACTCACCGTGTTACTGAGGCTGGCCTTGAGTCCATAGTCCTATTGTCCACACTGCTCAGAGTTAGGATTACAATGATATCAGATGAGCTGAGCAGATCTCTTGGATTTTCTTCATGTTGCAAGGAAACAGAGCATTTCCCAATTAACTCCAGGAAGAGTTATCTGTGCTTTCCTGTGCTTTCTTAGCCTGTAGTTTAAAGCCCAGTGTTCAAATCCAGTTCTTAAGAACACTGGAAGGATCAAGGCAAGTCTCAATGACTCTCAGTGATGTGTGGAGCTCTCATGGGACACTGGTCTATTTATCATCCCTGGCTTTGTAGTTAGCTGTGAATCAAAAATAAAATACCATTTAAGTCTTGCTACAAATATTTTTGTTGACAGAGTCGCATGACCTTGATTGTGATTTCTAAAGGTTCGTACAAGGTGGACAAATGCTTGAAGGAGCATGAAACAGCACCTACTAAACATTAGAGTGTGGGAAAATGCAGAACATGCTGTTTAATGGTCACCTTAGTTAGGGTTTCTATTACTGTGATAACAGCATGACCAAAGAAACTTGTGGAGGAAAGGGTTTATTTGGCTTAACTCCATATCACTGCTTATCATCAAAAGAGGTCAGGACAGGGACTCAAATAGTGCAGAAATCTGGAGGCAGCAGCTGATGCAGAGGCCATGGAGAGATGCTGCTTACAATCTTGTTCACTGCTGCTTGCTCAGACTGATTTACCATAGAATCCAGGACACCAGCCCATGTATCTCACCACCTACAATGGGCTGGAACCTTCCCCAACAATCAGCAACTAAGAAAATTCCCTACAGCTATATCTTGCATATGCATTCTAAATTAAAGTTCCTTTCTTTCAGATAACTCTAGTTTGAATCAAGTTGACAAAAATCAAACCAACACAATTGACCCCATGTCAATTTGACACACGAACTGTTAAGCCATAACCTTTCCTTTCTTCTTATTCCCCAAGATCACACATTAATACAAACATTACATTACTAATATTTCAAATTATTAAAGTCCCACAGTCTTTAAAAATTCAAATACTTAATTATTCAGTCTCTTTAAAATAGTTTCTTTTAAAATCTAGTCTTAAAATTTAAAATATTTCAACTGTGGGCTCCTGTAAAATAAAAAAAAAGTACTTTTTTACTTCAAGAAGCAAGAACCAGGGCATACTCTGGCTCTGTCCTCTGCAACACACACAGGCTGTCTCCTAGGCTCAGAGTGGCTCCACTCTATTCCTGCTGCTGTCTTTGGTGGTCATGCCACTATATTGGCATGTTGCTGGATATTTGAGCAAACTGTGTAAAGATGTGTTGCTATTACCTACTTGCCTAAGGCACCTGATTGGTTTAATAAAGAGCTGGATGCCAGTAGCAAGGCAGGAAACATTAGGCAGGACTTCTGGGCAGAGAGAGGACCTTGAGATGAATCTAGACATACAAGAGACCTGGAGGAGGAAGTAGGATTCATGAAACTGAGCAGAGGTAAAAAGCCACATGGCAGAGGGTAGAATAATAGAAACAGGTTAATTTAAGTTTTAAGAGCTAGTTGGGAACAAGCCTAAGCTAACGCAAGCTTTCATGATTAATAACAGTCTCCATGTCATTATTGGGGGGTTGATGACACCAAAAGAAAGAAAGTTCAACTATGTTTCCTGCCCTTACCTTTACTGCTTGTGCAAATTGGACAAGCAGGACACAAAAAAAGCTGACTGCCAAACTTTGCCAAGACAAGGAAGGACAGTCCTTCAAATATTCCTGCTTTACAAAAATGTCCATAAAATATTCCTGGCCTGTAGGCTAATGATGGATTCCGTAACATTACGGAGGAACTTTGGGTGATTTCCCAAACAGCCAGATGCCTCTGTACTTTCTATAGTTTTGGAAGTTGTTTGCTCTGTACTTCCTGTTTACTCATGTAATAGTATATCTTTCTCAGGTCTCTGATGGGGTTGAAGACTAGATAGTTATAGTTACAATTTTCTTTGTTGCCAAATTCAGAAAAGAAATTCACAAAAGAGATGTAAAGTATATAAAGTTGAGAGACATAAAACCTTAAGTTGTTTATCTAAGAAAATGTTTTAATGTCTACAAAAATATTTTTGGGATGGTAATACAAGTTATGATAGAAAGTGATTCAGGTATAAAACTTTGGACTCATCAAGATAGGATAGATAATACAGTAAATTTCTCTAAATTTGCCAAATATAGATGCACTGGACATTGTGAATGTAGTCTTTACTTGATAATTGTTCTTATTGTATATAGACAAAAAGGCAGAAATGATGCAGGATATTTGAGCAAACTGTGTAAAGATGTGTTACTGTTTTACCTTGCCTGCCTAAGGCACCTGATTTGTTTAATAAAGAGCTGAATATTCAATATCTAGGCAGGAAAGGTTAGGCAGGACTTCCTGGCAGAGAGAAGAGCTTGTGATGAATCTAGGCATGTAAGATATTCAGCAGCCAGACACAGAGGAAGTGGGGTGCACAATACTGAACAGAGGTAAAAAGCCACATGGCAGAATGTAGATTTGTATAAAGTGGTTAATTTAAGTTATAAGAGCTAATTGGGAATAAGCCTATGTTAAAGGCCAAACTTCATAATCAATAACAAGTTTCCATGTAATTATTTGGGAGGTGACTTTCCCAAAAGAAAGAAAGTTCATCTACATTGGCATCTCCAAAATGCTGGGTTTTCTGCTGCAATTGAGCAGCACTTTCACCAATAGCCTCTCCTGGCTCCCTTTTGGGACACCAACCCTGTCACACAGTGCCAAGCCTCAGCTTCTCTCCATGACCTCCTTATACCTTCAAAACCAGTACCACCTGGGTTACTCTTACACTATCAAGTTTAGCTTCCAACATGAGGTACAATGTTGGCTACTTCAGGAACACAGCTTTTGTGTGCTGACCCCAGGGAAACACTTCCCAGAAGACTTACTTCAGTGATGCTGGTCTCTTGTTAATCGTAGCTGATTCTTCAGTTCTATCTGAACAGATAGCATAGGTTCTTCACATAAAAGGCCCTCTAGAGTCTTTCCTACCTCCTGAAACTTCACAAGCAAGGCCCCCATCATCTGCA